TCTGTAGTTAGGCCACGTCTTTTCTTTCATAGTGCTACACCAAATTCTGGCCTCAATCGAACCCACATAGTGGTATTTACCCCATAGCTATTTTTCCCATGGCATTTGTTATTGAGACTAATTGAATGTTGAGTGCTGCATGAGAACACTATAATAGCATTTATTTTATCTAGGTCAGGTGATCTGGGTTTGCTCTTGTCAGCTTTCTGCAGGAACACCACTAAATGGGTCATGGTACAGACAAGGGGTTTTGACAACCTGCTATTGCTTCATAACTTCACCACAAACACTCTCATACAGTGGAGGCTGCTGATGGGAGGACGGCTCATAATAATGTCTGGAACGGTATAAATGGAATGGCATCAAACACACGGAAACCACGGAAACCATGTGTTTGATGTATTTGATACCATTCCACCTATTCCGCTCCAGACATTACCACAAGCCCAGTCCTCCCCAATTAAGGTGCCACCAACCTCCTGTGCTCTCATAATATTATTGCTGACAAAGCTGAGCTTGCAAAAGGTCTTTGATTTATGATATTGAATATTAGAGTTTGAATATTATACAGTGGGGAAAAAAAGTATTTAGTCAGCCACCAATTGTGCAAGTTCTCCCACTTAAAAAGATGAGAGAGGCCTGTAATTTTCATCATAGGTACACGTCAACTATGACAGACAAAATGAGAATTTCTTTTCCAGAAAATCACATTGTAGGATTCTTAATGAATTTATTTGCAAATTATGGTGGAAAATAAGTATTTGGTCAATAACAAAAGTTTCTCAATACTTTGTTATATACCCTTTGTTGGCAATGACACAGGTCAAACGTTTTCTGTAAGTCTTCACAAGGTTTTCACACACTGTTGCTGGTATTTTGGCCCATTCCTCCATGCAGATCTCCTCTAGAGCAGTGATGTTTTGGGGCTGTCGCTGGGCAACACAGACTTTCAACTCCCTCCAAAGATTTTCTATGGGGTTGAGATCTGGAGACTGGCTAGGCCACTCCAGGACCTTGAAATGCTTCTTACGAAGCCACTCCTTCGTTGCCCGGGCGGTGTGTTTGGGATCATTGTCATGCTGAAAGACCCAGCCACGTTTCATCTTCAATGCCCTTGCTGATGGAAGGAGGTTTTCACTCAAAATCTCACGATACATGGCCCCATTCATTCTTTCCTTTACACGGATCAGTCGTCCTGGTCCCTTTGCAGAAAAACAGCCCAAAGCATGATGTTTCCACCCCCATGCTTCACAGTAGGTATGGTGTTCTTTGGATGCAACTCAGCATTCTTTGTCCTCCAAACACAACGAGTTGAGTTTTTACCAAAAAGTTCTATTTTGGTTTCATCTGACCATATGACATTCTCCCAATCCTCTTCTGGATCATCCAAATGCACTCTAGCAAACTTCAGACGGGCCTGGACATGTACTGGCTTAAGCAGGGGCACACGTCTGGCACTGCAGGATTTGAGTCCCTGGCGGCGTAGTGTGTTACTGATGGTAGGCTTTGTTACTTTTGGTCCCAGCTCTCTGCAGGTCATTCACTAGGTCCCCCGTGTGGTTCTGGGATTTTTGCTCACCGTTCTTGTGATAATTTTGACCCCACGGGGTGAGATCTTGCGTGGAGCCCCAGATCGAGGGAGATTATCAGTGGTCTTGTATGTCTTCCATTTCCTAATAATTGCTCCCACAGTTGATTTCTTCATACCAAGCTGCTTACCTATTGCAGGTTCAGTCTTCCCAGCCTGGTGCAGGTCTACAATTTTGTTTCTGGTGTCCTTTGACAGCTCCTTGGTCTTGGCCATAGTGGAGTTTGGAGTGTGACTGTTTGAGGTTGTGGACAGGTGTCTTTTATACTGATAACAAGTTCAAACAGGTGCCATTAATACAGGTAACGAGTGGAGGACAGAGGAGCCTCTTAAAGAAGAAGTTACAGGTCTGTGAGAGCCAGAAATCTTGCTTGTTTGTAGGTGACCAAATACTTATTTTCCACCATAATTTGCAAATAAATTCATTAAAAATCCTACAATGTGATTTACTGGATTTTTTTTTCTCAATTTGTCTGTCATAGTTGACGTGTACCTATGATGAAAATTACAGGCCTCTCTCATCTTTTTAAGTGGGAGAACTTGCACAATTGGTGGCTGACTAAATACTTTTTTCCCCCACTGTACATGACAGCTAAACACTCACTGATCAACAAACCTTTTCATGTCAATGTGGGGTGATGTTACTCTGTTTGGGAAACAAAATGCATACTGCAGTGAAGTCGAGGGGAGCCTGAGTTGGCCTTCAGCATGCAACCGTCTGTCAGCCCAACAATTCATTCGGCCTAGATGTCCGTACCTCTAGATTAAGTCCCTAGATTTGTAAGGACACTACTGTATGTATATCAGTCAAAACACACACCATTCAAGCACCTTTAGGTAAGCACCGTTGATATGACCTTTACCAGGTTATCTGACTGACAACAAATTAGCATACAGCAACAACCAGTGCAACAACGGATATGGGCCCGAACTAAACAGGTCATGTGAACAGGTCATGGACAGTGGTAGAGAACAACATTAACACAATATCTGTGTCACTAAACTGCCCCGTTAGCATCTCTGTCAGCCATGATGCAGAGATGGGCTTCCTGTCCTCAATTTAGTAACCACAGGTTAGGAGTGTATGACATGATTGATACGTATCAGTATCATCCACAAACGCACACATGCACACATCTATTTGTAGGGGTATATACAGTAGGATCAGTCAGTAGGTGTGTTTTGTGAATATTTTCTGGTCCTACGTACCATCACCATGGCTCCCAGATACCTGGAGACAATCCTTTTTCTCTGCTGCGTTGTGACCATGTTCAGTTCTACCTCAGCTGCATGTAAGTTTACCTGGTAACCAATTTACCTGTTTAAGAGTTTGCCCATGTATATGTACCACTTTTGTTTTACCAAGGTCTGATAAGGTCTAGCTGTGAGACCTGCCAACTCTGTTTTGGGGTCATATTGGTTAGGTTAGATCAGATTAGAAGCTTATATTGTAGATCCCAGAATAGATTACAGTGAAATAACATTTTACATTGGTCTGCATGTGTGTGTGGCATGTGGCTGACTGATGTTTGTGTATGTGTTCAGATGGTCCTAGGAAACTTTACTGTTGTGTGGAGTACCAAGAGAAGCCTGTACCCTACCAGCAGATAAAAGGCTACAAACTACAGAGCTCCAAGGAGGTGTGCAACATCAACGCTATCATGTAAGCCCTGAACAAAGTATACACACACACACTTTGACCATACTCTTAGAATGTATGCTCATATTTTGTCATCTCTATGAGGTTAAGGTTTAAAGCTACAGTCCTTAATTGAAACAATAACAAAGCCTGCACCCCGCCTCTGTTTTGGTAAAAAGCTGGGGTATAGGCCTGGAGAAATGTAACCTCTCTCAAATTCATAGACAGAGCTATGAATGCAAGGACTGACCATCCACAATATACAAACTATAGTTTTAACCATGTTGAGGCTATATTGTTTACTTTACATTTACATTGTTTACAAAACAAGCTAATATTTTGGGTTCTGATGGGGTATAACAGGTGAACTAAACTCATGAGGCATTTCTAAGTTATATTCTTCAATAATAAATGGGTATATATCATTAATTTGTAAGTCCAAAAATGTATGTAGCAACTAAGAATTCTAGCTTTAAGTGTGTTTTCTGTTGTAGCTTCTATACCTTGAAGAACAAAAAGGTATGCGCCAGTGTTAAGGACGAATGGGTGAGGAAGGCTCTGGCTCGTCTCAGGTACACAAACACACTCCTCTTAAGACACAGATGCTGCTTATCAACTGTAACACCAGTGTTACACTAGTGTATACTCCTTTATGTTATACCAGGGAAATTGTGTTTTCACAGCTAGTGCTGACAGTGAGGACTTGTGAAGAGCAGAATCAACAACCTCTGCATAATCAAAACAGTTGCTTTGTGATGTGTTAAAGTTCAAATTAGCCACTGTTAAGTACCAGTGGCCTTGCTTTGGCCCCAAGTGAGAGCAGGTCCGCCGGAGCCATGGCCCAGTGAGACAAATGGTGCCGGCCCTCGTAGATAAAAACAGAAAAGTCTGAGCCTTTTGGGTAAAACACTGTGGTAAATCCTGTATGGAAATTTTCCAAAAGCATTCTCACTTTAACTACACACACCAAAATGTCTCAGAACTACAAATACACCAAAACTACAAATACAGCAGTTACAAGACTGGATGTCAATCGAACTTGCCATACGGGTTTTACGCCATGTACAAACTACTGCCTTCCTGAGTTTCATATTCTGTGTTATATGCAGCTTCAAACTGAAGAAGATGTCTGGCAGCAACACTGTGACGGGCAAAACCCCCCACCCCGATCTGAAAGGAACATTCAACCACAGCAACACAACATTCTCCAACATCACCAGTAATCACAACATTCAGTAATGTGGCCATATGATGCAGATATTATTTTAAAATATAATGCATTGCATTGCATTAGTTCTGACGTTTACTGTTGTTAATGATTGTAGTACTATATTCATGCTTAAGCTTACAGGTGTCCTCTGATTCCACAATATAAGCTATTTTAGTCAAAGGCTTCAATGAGTTCTATTTTTCAACATTTAAATGTTGAATGTGTGTTTCTTTTAAGGTCGGCAGAAATAAAGAATTTGATATATTGCCAGCCTTGATTATTTCTTTGAGTCACATTACTGTAGAACTAGAGCTGACAATGGCATGGACATTAGTTGTGAATGTGATTGTGAATTGAAACATAGATCAACAGTGCAGTGCAGTGCAAAACCATAAACCATCATGACTTCAAATGGCCACCTGATTCACTGAGACAAACCAAGAGGTTGGGAAAATTACTGTATATTTAATCATTTTGAATTATATAAAGCCAATTTATACAATTTTCTCAATTCAGTTAAAGCACAACAAATCCATCGTATTATGAGGTGCGTGTATTTGTGTTTAGAAGACGCCGTAGCACATCTGCTGGAAGGTGTCCATGCGTGCCACCTCACAGATGATGTCACCGGTGGCCGTGTCCTTGTCGTCCTCGCTCTCGAGAGGCTTGGGGACCGGGGTGCCCTGCTTAAGGTCATACATCAGCTGGAGGGGACACAACAGTTACAATACAGACCAATATAATCACAATATAGGCCTAGACACAAAATAAACAGGGACACACTCATCCTCTGTTGTGCAATACAAGCTAACAAGGTTTTAGTTGAAAGTAGATGCAGAAACATCACATCACCGCTTCTAATAATATGTCCAAAACAGGTGAAACAATTCCATTATGTGTGTACTCTACCTGGAGGTACTCCTCAAAGTTGATGGACTTGTAGTTGTCCTTGTCTGCCGTATTAAACATCTCTTTTCTGGCCTCCATAGTTGATGCATCATTGACCATGTTCAGAGAAGCGCAACTGTCAGGGGGTAGAGGGAGGTGTCTGTGCTAGCAGTACACACTTTATTCAAGTGTGATGGTTTAAAACCATGACAGAGACTCATAATAAGACTACTAGTAGGCCTACCTCATTATTGTAGATGGAATTTGTATATGTGCTGCCACCTACAGCCACCTAGCATTCAGCTAAATATCACTGAGTAGCCACATGACATCAAAAGTCACATCTGAATGTCCTATGTTCACTCACAACTCGCTGAAGTCCAGCAGGCGGTCTTTGTTGGTGTCAAAAATCTCAAACTGCCGTCTCAGGTTGAGCAGGTCATCAGCTGTCCAGTGGGGAAACTTGTTCTTCAGATCCAACACACTGGTGTTCCAGTCATAGCTATACTCTGCACGCAGGCAGATACACATGGGTTACATTTATAAAACACAGCAGGCCAAATAATCCACACAAGTAGGCCTTCTAGCTATGTAGGCTATCTTGGTACGCTCTAATGTTAGCTTGTTTGCATTGCATGATGGTATAGCCAAAGATGATTTAGTATGTATAGCCTAGTTATCCCATTCATAGACGCTAACTCTCTTTAGCGCCTATTGACGATAGTATCGGGGGAGTTTTGTTAAGAGCCCAGACACTTGCTCTAAAAGTTAACCCTCATCGCTTGCGGTACGGTTTTGGAAACATAAGGAACATATCTTTCATATCATCAAGATTTTAAAAAAAAGTACAATTACTACACACCATTATAGGGTTAGGGTTCCCACACGGCCATATTTCCATGTTACAGCGCTTGTTTATGGAAAACAGACGGAAGTGAGTCAACTCTTTCACCACAGATGAGAAAGTGCGACATCAGCAGATGTGGTGGATTGAGACGCATCCAATGCAAAAAAACAGATCTCTTAATTTAAACGGAAGCATTTTGATGGGGTTTATTTTATTATGTTACTTAGATTGACGTATGTCAATCGACTCTATGTGGTTAACTTGCCTCCTCCCCGTCATCTACACTGATTGAAGTGGATTTAACAGGTGACATCAATAAGGGATCATAACTTTGACCTGGATTCACCTGGTCAATCTATATCATGGAAAGACCAGGTGTTCCTAATGTTTTGTACACGCAGTGTATACAGTATGTGATTATTGAAAAAATCTGTAAGTTTGCTTTAATATCATCCTAAATTAAGATATTATATTATTTTGCTATATCGAATGAATTTATATAACACTACTTTCCATGATGTGGACAGTACTATATGTGTTATTACATTACACAAGCTGACATTTTGACCACATCGAATTGGGGGGAATTACAGTGCCTTCAGAAAGTATTCATACCCATATGTTCATATGTTACAGCTTGAATTCAAAATGGATTAAATATATTTTTTTACACAGATTTGTTTCTACACTCAATATCCCATAATGGCAAAGTGAAAATATGTTTTTAGAAAATGTTTACTAATTTATTGAAAATGAAACACAGAAATATCTAATTTACATAAGTATTCACAGCCCTGAGTCAATACATGATAGAATCACCTTTGGCAGCAATTACAGCTCGGAGTCTTTCTGGGTAAGTCTCTAAGAGCTTTGCACACCTCTACTGGACAATATTTGCACATTATTATTTTTTAAAATTCCTCAAGCTCTGTCCAGTTGGTTTTTGATTATTGCTAGACAGCCATTTTCAAGTCTTGCCATAGATTTTCAAGCCGATATAAGTCAAAACTGTAACTAGGCCATTCAGGAACATTCAATGTCGTCTTGGTAAGCTATTCCAGTGTATACTTGGCCTTGAGGTTTTAGGTTATTGTCCTGCTGAAAGGTGAATTTGTCTCCCAGTGTCTGTTGGAAAGCAGAATGAACCATATTTCCCTATAGGATATTGCCTGTGCTTAGCTCTATTCCATTTCTTTTTATCCTAAAAAACTCCCTAGTCCTTGTCGATGACAAGCACTACCCATAACATGATGCAGACACCGCCATGCTTGAAAATATTTAGAGCGGTACACAGTGATGTGTTGTGTTGGATTTGCCCCAAACATAACCAGATTTTTTGCAGTTTTACTTTAGTGCCTTATTGCAAACAGGATGCATGTTTTGGAATATTTTTTATTTTGTACATGCTTCCTTCTTTTCACTCTGTCATTTAGGTTAGTATTGTGGAGTAACTACAATGTTGTTGATCCATCCTCAGTTTTCTCCTATCACAGCCATTAAACTCTGTAACTGTTTTAAAGTCACCATTGGCCTCATGGTGAAATCCCTGAGCGGTTTCCTTCCTCTCCGGCAACTGAGTTGGGAAGGACACCTGTATCTTTGTAGTGTAATAAAAAAAATCACCATGCTCAAAGGGATATTCAATGTCTGCTTTTTTTTGTTCACCCATCTACCAATAGGTGCCCTTCTTTGCGAGGCATTGGAAAACCTCCCTGATCTTTGTGGTTAAATCTGTGTTTGAAATTCACTGCTCAACTGAGGGACCTTAGAGATAATTGTGTATGTGGGGTACAGAGATGTCATTCAAAATCATGTTAAACACTATTATTGCACACAGAGTGAGTCCATGCAACGTATTATGTGACTTGTTTAGCACTTGTTACTCCTGAAATTATTTAGGTTTGCCATAACAAAGGGGTTGAATACTTATTGACTCAAAAATTTCGAAAAACCATCATTCCACTTTGACATCATAGGGTATTGTGTGTAGGCCAGTGACACAAAATCTAAATTTTATCCATTTAAAATTCAGGCTGTAACAACAAAATGTGGAAAAAGTCAAGGGGTATGAATACTTTCTAAACGCACTGTACACATTCTTTTGACCTCAGATTGGTGATGTTAGTAGAAAAGTTTATAGGCAACACGATGACACAAGATCAATTGCTTAAAACAGATCAATATATTTGGTTTTGTACTGCTGATTTTGTCAACAGGGGGTCGCAGGACTTACAACTCAGCTATTATTTTATTTCTCAAATGGCACGGATAATTCGGGGCGGTCTCTCTATAAAAGTCGCTGGCCACACACCAATACTCTGATTTGACAGTCAAACTATCACTTAAATAGCAACCAACTGTTGTCACTGTTGATATCCTAAGGCGGGTTGTGATTCGTTGAAGTTAACTATCATAAAAAGTGGTTTGTTCCCTTTTCCGTGATGGCAGCCTCCCGAAATCAACATCCGCCATTCCAAAATATAGATAGAAGACTTCAACAAATTCTCATCTAATCAACCATGTATAGGTTATTCCAAGTTTCCGTGTGGCCTTTGTATAATGTACGTTTATACAACGCATACTACCCAAACGTTTTGCCCCCGTTCTATTGAGTTCAACGTGTAATGATATGAATGATTAACAAGAAAGTGTTGTTACGTTACACTTGCCGCGTTGGCGATCCACTTCAATCAAAACGCAACACTTAAAAATGTAGCTTGTCTTCTACAAGTTGTCCTCTACCAGTGATATACAAATTATTCCCAGATTCTGTATGGTTTTTGAGCTGTGTTAGTTTTAACAGGACGTGCAACCTGATCCCCCCCTCGCTCTATTGATTTGAACTTGATATCGATATGAGTAATTGACAAAACAGTGTTGCGTTTCCCTTTCTGTTTTGGCGACCCCCGTATCAAAATTCAACATTGAAATGTAGCTGACTATCTTCTGCAGGTTGTCCTCTAACCTGTGATGTAAAAAATACCTCCAGTTTCCATGTGGATTTTTAGTTGTGTTAGTTTCAACAGCATGTACAACCTGATTTCCTCCCTAATCAATATGAGTGATTTATTGTCAATTGTCAAAACAACAGGGTTTTTGGTGCATGTGCAGTTTATAAGGTGCTCGTTTAAAAAATACAAGTAATATGATTACTATTGTTGTGTAGATAATACATTTTAATGTTTAGGTTTTCAATCTATCACAAACTGTTTCTGCATATTGGTTATTGATTTGGACACTTTAAAACTGTGTTTTGACATTGGGCTATTTATTAAAATGTCTTGTCAACAGGAAGCAGCGACAGCATAATTTTCAACAAAAGTTTTAGGAATATAAATGGAACTTTCAACATTAATTTCCAATGGTATGAGTCTAAAAACGTGCTGTGATTGATTTAATTCATGATATACCAGAATTCACCAAATGGGTTTGCCCTGCCTACGTTTAGATGGAGTATTTGGCTGTTAAGGCTGTATTTCTTCATTATTTTATAGTCCTAGTTAAAATTTCTCTAATGAAAAACGTTTTTTTTTCATGATTATTGTATTTATTATTATTGTATTTAACATTTTCTGTGTGTCCCTGATATCACTTTCCACCCTGTTACTATGTAGTAATTCTCCTTTTAGAAAACCGCCCCTTCCCACAATGACATCAAGTTCAGGAAGTATCATAATTTTTTGGGTGGGAAAGCAATGCAAGACAAAATATATACACTATATGACCAAAATTATGTGGACACCTGCTCGTCAAACATCTCATTCCAAAATTCCAAAAACAATGGGCATTAATATGGAGTGGGTCCCCCCTTTGCTGCTATAACAGCCTCCACTCTTCTGGGAAGGGCTTTCCACTAGATGTTGGAACATTGCTGCGGGGACTTGCTTCCATTCAGCCACAAGAGCATTAGTGATGTCGGGCACTGATGTTGGGCGAGTAGGCCTGGCTCGCAGTCGGCGTTCCTATTCATTCCAAAGGTGTTCGATAGGGTTGAGGTCAGGGCTCTGTGCAGACCAGTCAAGTTCTTCCACACCAATCTCGACAAACCATTTTTGTATGGACCTCAATTTGTGCGCGGGGGCATTGCTGAAACAGGAAAGGGCCTTCCCCAAACTGTTGCCACAAAGTTGGTGATGTTGAAGCGTGATTCATCACTTCAGAGAATGCGTTTCCACTGCTCCAGAATCCAATGGCGGCGAGCTTTACACCACTCCAGCCGACACTTGGCATTGCGCATGGTGATCTTAGGCTTGTGTGCGGCTGCTCTGCCATGGAAACCCATTTCATGAAGCTCCCACGACGAACAGTTCTTGTGCTGACGTTACTTCCAGAGGCAGTTTGGAACTCGGTAGTGAGTGTTGCAACCGAGGACAGACAATTTTTACGCGCTACACGCTTCAGCATTCGGTGGTCCAGTTCTGTGAGTTTGTGTGGCCTACCATTTCGGGGCTGCTGTTGTTGTTGCTAGACGTTTCCACTTCACAATAACAGCACTTACAGTTGACCGGGGCAACTATAGCAAAGCAGAAATTTGACGAACTGACTTGTTGGAAAGGTGGCATCCTAGGATGGTGCCTCGTTTAAAGTCACTAAGCTCTTTAGTAAGGCCATTCTACTTCCAATGTTTGTCTATGGAGATCGCATGGCTGTGTGCTCAATTTTATACACCTGTCAGCAACGGGCGAGGCTGAAATAGCCAAATCCACAAATTTGAAGGGGTGTCCACATACTTTTGTATTTATAGTGTATATACACTCGGTTGTATCTATTTTTCCATGTTTCATAATGCTAGTCTGTTTGTCTAACTCATACATTTCCACCCTGTTGTTAGGCTAAATTATAGAGAAAATTAATCAAATTTCAAAAATGTTAAATACATTTCATATATACATTAAAATCCTATTCAAGTGTTTACCATTATGATAGCTTAATCTCAATCACCCACAGTGCTATGGCTAATTTAGGTTACAAATTTCAACCCGGTTAGGATTATGCAATGACTGTATAGGATTAATTTTATGCAACTAACAGGGCTTTAACATTATGCAATGACTGTATGGGATTAATTTTATGCACCTAACAGGAATTTAAGTGCCTGAGTTTGACCAATTTGTTTTTCCTGAAAGTCAAACATGTCCTATTTCTAATAGAATATGTAAAAAATGTAAAATATATAATTTTCCCCAAAAAATTATGAGGTCCAAACTCACTGTCAAATTTGGCGGTCTCTTTGATAGAGTGGATCCTCTGCTGGATCATGTCATATGTGTAGCGCAGATTAATCTCATGCATTTCCATTGCAAAATTCATCTCGTCAGAGTCTGGTGTGGCGTTTGGAAACAAGAATGGTAAACCAGCCATGCACAGGTTACTAATTTAGCTAGCTAGCTAACGTTAACTAGCTAGCTATGTACGTTAACTGTTACGTGTTAGCTAGCTACTAAAGGTTGTTGACATTACCTTCATTGAAATCAGGATCAACATAACTTTCTGGCTCTTTCACCAGTGGATATGACAATGACATCCCCATCTTGCAAACTACCCTGGCTAGTTTGCACCTGTCAAGAATACAAGTACAGTACATTTAGGATAGCTGTTAACTGCTGGCCAACTACAGTACATTAGTAAGTAGCTAGCTAGGTACGTTAACGGTTCCAACTAGTGTATTTTGCATAATCTTTTGAATAATTTTGCTCGCTATTTATTTAGCGAATAACACGATATCTAACTTAGCTAGCTAACGTTATACATTTCTCATCAAACCTCTGTTTCACTTCATTTGATAGACAGGCTCCAGGTGAAATTTAAATAATTTCACTAGCTAGATGGTTAGCTAGCAAGCAAATTACTAGCAACGGTCTGAAAGGTCAGTTTGGAATTTCAGATTTTTGAAAGTAAACGTCAGAATGTCGCGTGTCAAAAAGCCGGTTGATCTAGAAGCTTTTATTCCCTTCATCTAATTTCCTTCACCTGACTGATGTGCAGGACACAACATATTTCCACAGAGTTTTCATTTCTGTTAGGCGTCCACCATATTGCATCAACTATAATGCAACCCTAGAACCTAATGAAACTTCGAAGTCAGTGTAAATGAAAGAGAAGAAATAAGGAAAGGTCACTGTCGACAATTGCACAATGTCAAACGATACGTGTTCATACATGTTGAAGGCAAGCTGCAATGCTACGTTGAATCCGCCTGGTGGCGACAACAATCCATAAGTAGAGGCGATTCAGCCAAAGTGTGGTTCAGTATGAAGAAATTAGTATATGGAGTATAAAGCCAATTCATCCATGCAAATGGAGAATTTACAATACGCAGGACTCGTTTTTATAACGCAATGACTACGGGATTGATTATAAGATGGGATAGCAAGGGATTCCGTTGTTTTATTTTGTATAAATATTTGACATACATTCTTACATCTCCATTCTCCATTGGAGCTTTTATTTAAATTTGGAAATAGGCTGTTAACCTTTGACTTTAAGATATACATCACATGACTGAACTGCATGTTAATAGCATATAGCAAACTGCATTTCATACAAAGCCATTCACTCCACATTTAACACCCAATAAATATTTCAACTGGCAATAAATAATAAATACACCAGCTTTTCTCACAATATCTAAATGGCTTTAAATATACCTTCTATAGCATAAATAATTTAATTTAAAAGTTGATAATTTCAATTACAGGTTTAAACAATGCTATCCCTCAAGTTCAGCCAGTGATGATGATGATGATGATGATGAAGAACGTCCTCTATGGGGAGGTGGTGGGGGAGGTGGTGGTGGTGTTCTGTGTGTTCAGTAATCTTCTGGACATCCTAGAAGAAACAGCAGCACAGTGAGCATTTCAACGTCTTTCCTTCAACCATTTATTTATTTTACACCCAGTCTTTTCTCTTATGGCCTTTGTGCAAGTCTTTGTGCAGGTCACCTACTCTAGCCAGCCATGAAAATACGTAACAGTGAGTATTACACTATGTATATGAATGAATATGACTGACTATTGATCACTCATTGGGTATATTGTTGATGACTTACTCCAGCTGAAAGAATGTGTGTCGAACCCAGGCCTCTTTCCAATGGCTGCAGATGATCTCTCCATCTTCAGTCTCGAAGCTATGTGGAACACAAGATGACAACATTTAGACAACTGTCCTACTCTTGTCCTAACTCATTCATCTGACTGGAGGTTGTAAATGTGGGCCTATACATTTTATTTGTGAAGTTCTGTTGGGATGGGAGGTTCTTACATGACAGCATTGACGCAGGGAAGGGCCTTTTTCTGAATTCTGGCGCCTATGATGGGTAATGTGATTTTCTGCCTGGAGACCTCTGTGCAGCAGTTGTGAACCTTGTTTGCATCTGAAGAATTAAAGAAGCATATGTGGTTTAGGATAAAATGTTTTAACCCACCACCACCACCCCGCTCTAATATCTAATTTTATTCCAGAAAATATTGTATTTACAGAGTTAATAAAATACATACTTTGGGCTAAACCAATAACTTTGCCAAGGGTTTCAGATCTCTTGGCATTATCTTAGTTGTTAGATGAACAGATGCAAAGTTGTTGGGTCAAGTCCAACATATCCCCCAAATTCACTACATCAGTAAACTGTACTTACCAGTGTCAGTGGCCGTTAACGAGAGAATGACAGCGAAGAGAGCGAGGCACGCCATTGGTCCGTAGCACAGCTGCATGATTGCTATAGAGATGTTCTGTAGTGTTCTCAACTGTGTTCTTGTCTGATTCAGAAGGCTAGAACCGGCTGGGGGAGAGGAGATGACTGATCTTTCTTGACCAGAGCCTCAGCTTTTAAACCCTAAAAAGAGGAACCTGATCTAGTCTGTCCGGATCTGTGTTTTTTTTTTCAGAGTGAGGGGGACGGGGGACGGGGGGGGAAACACCCATGAGTGCTTCTGCTTAGTCAGACATTTCCTGTAAAGATTGCATAATTAAGACCAAGGTGTGCTGATTGAATGATGGTCAGGCCGCTGGCTAGATTGATTCAGGCCTATGGATTTCTCTAGTGTTGGAAAATGTAGCATTTATGTTGGATTTAGGTTAGGGGATGGTTCTTTCATGAGTCCTATAGGGACCTGAATGTGCACGGCCTAGTCCATTAAATCAAAACAAACCCAGGGCTAGGGATTCAGTGGTGAAAATCATATTTGTGGTTAGAAAGTGCCAAGTCCTTTCTACCATGACCAGATTGTGATGTCCGCTGTGCAGCGTTTGGTACTTGGGGTCTGTGTGTGTGTGTATGCACTACACAAAATGTGTAGAATAGCAGGGAATTAGCTTTTAAAAAATTCTCGGCCTCATTGCAAAATATGCAGAATAGTATGACATTAGCTATAAAACTGCACATTTTTCTATATGTCCCATGGCAAAATGTGTAGAATTGCAGGAAATTAGTCCTTGCTCAGACCTTGCAGGTGGGCCCCGCGAAACTGCGGTATGCCACTTTGTGTATTTGAATGTGTATGTGTGGCATGGTGGGGTGACGAGGTCCAAAAGTGAAGATGTCAGCAGATGTGTTTGGGTATGCTGTGAGGTCATGAGATCATGTGCTGGTGACTGCACACATTTCCTCAGCCCTCCTTCCTCCTCTCCCGCCCGCCCTCCCCCCTCCCTCTTTCCATCCTTCCTCCCTCCATCCAGATCGGACCATTGCGGTCAGAGCAGGAAAGAGAAAAGAGGAAGAAAGAGGGAGAGTCTTCCGTTCCCTGAAACCAAGTGCACCAGCCTCAGACCACACCAATCCTTTGGGGAAGTTGGGTATGGTTGGCCTAGGGCAGGGAAGGGCAACTTTGATAGGGGTGGGGGACATAAAAAATCAGAACTCATCATGAGGGGCCGCAGTTGCTCGCGGGTCTGCGTACCCACATCCATACCCCCCCACATTGCGAGCAAAACATTTTAGTGTCCTCCCTCTTGACAGCTCAGATAAAATTTGAGTTAATTTTGTGCAATTCTACACATTTTGCCATGGGGTGTAGAGAAAATGTTGCAGTTTTAAAACAAGTTTGCTGCAATTCTACACATTTTGCCATAGGCTGGAGAGAAATGTTTGCAGTTTTTAATTTGATATCTGAGTGAGACTGACTATCAAAATATTTGTTTTGTTAGCCAGGTTGGTAATTCAACCATAATAACAAGTTTAGATAGACTGTCAGTGACTGGCATAACAAGAGAAAAACAGCAGATGCACAACCACATTTCGAAATTGCAGCTTGTGTAGTCTACTATTCTAACTCGCAACAGTAAGTTGAGACCCCGACTGAGTAAATAATCATAAATAATAATGATCCGAGGGCCTTCAAATGGTCCACGGGCGGCTAGTTGTCCATCCCTGGCCTAGGGGAAGCTGCTTACCACCACCAGCATCTCATCGGGCAGAAAGGTTCACCTCAACAGTGAATATGGATGATGTATTTTTGCAGTGTGCAGACTGCACTCTTCTGAGCGAAAAGATGGCTTTGTGGATAAAAAGGCAACTCATAGTATATGTCGAAACGTATTGCCTTACGCTATTGAGATGCATCCGTCCCATTGATTTCCTTAGAGACAGCGCTGTGTCTGTTTGTGTCACATATGCGTTTGGCGTGACAGGAAACAGGTCGATGGTGTGGGTATTGAGTCACACGTTCGGCCCCCTGGGTTGGATAGTCATGCCTTTCAGGGCACGGCCTGTCTTCAGACTGCATTGGGCAAGGTGTTTTTGGTTGTTGTTGTGGTTGTTGAATAATATAATAATTCAGATAAAGTGCACCCTGAAATGGTGAAAGACAAATTACCAATGTCTTGAATTAATGTTTGAAAATGCCCTCATTCTCTAGTTCTGCATTGTGAATGAAAAGCAGAAGTAGGCCTAAACTTTACCAGCAGTTTTGGTCATTCAGATCCGTTTAGCTGAATTAAGGCTATTGCAAAAGTCTTAAGTTTATGAATTAGAAAGAAAATAGAGAGTGTAACAACAGAAGTTCTGCTTTTTTCATGCATTCTCTAAATCCCCATTCATAATCCAGAGTTTGGTCATTGCCAATTTATTAGAGCTTGACCTATCTCTTACCTGGGAATGTCATGCTAGGTTTAGTTTAGATTTAGGTTTATTTTAACATCTTTGTAAATACAGTGTATGCTAAAAAAAATACATAAAATGTGATGTCGCATGCTGTCTAGCAAAGCCTGTATCAATGACTGATCATGACCAATGTTTTTTTGGCTGTGAGATGTAACCTCTCACATACTTCAGTTTAGGCAACTCTGTATTAATATATAGTATGTAGCATTCATCTGACCTGACCTCTATCCCACTACAGTCAGATTTCTAGAAAACCCTTTATTAATGACTGATGATGATGTATCATATCTAATGCTGTGTGATGGAAAAGTAGAAGTCTCTGTTAGCCAACTGAGGACCTGTAGCTCAGTTGGTAGAGCATGATAGCACTTGCAACGCCAGGATAGTGGTTTTGATTCCTGGGACCACACATACGTAAAATTATATGCACTCATGACTGTATGTCGCTTTGGATAAAAGCATCTGCTAAATGGCATACAGTACCAGTCAAAAGTTTGGACATACCTACTCATTCCAGGGTTTTTCTTTATTTTTACTATTTTCTACATTGTAGAATAATAGTGAAGACATCAAAACTATGAAATCACATATATGGAATGTTAAAAAAGTGTATAACAAATCAAATATATTTGAGATTTGAGATTCTTCAAATAGCCACCCTTTGCCTTGATGACAGCTTTGCACACTCTTGGCATTCTCTCAACCAGCTTCACCTGGAATGCTTTCCCAAGAGTCTTGAAGAAGTTCCCACATATGCTGAGCACTTGTTGGCTGCTTTTCCTTCACTCTGCGGTCCGACTCATCCCAAACCATCTCAATTGGGTTGAAGTCAGGGGCTTGTGGAGGCCAGGTCATCTGATGCAGCACTCCATCACTCTCCTTCTTGGTAAAATAGCCCTTACACAGCCTGGAGGTGTGTTGGGTCATTGTCCTTGTCACGAGTTGCTGTAGGTGTGGTGTGGAATCAGGCGCAGGACGCAGAAGTAAAGTCCAACAAAATACTTTAGTAGATCACACAAAAATAATCCAAAACCAGCCCGGAGGCGAGAAAAGCGCGCACAGGCGTACACAAACGGGCGCACTAAACAAGTGCGTAATCTTCTCCTAAAATACAAACAAGGAGGTAAGCTACAAAATAGCGCACCAAAATACAGGTAGCGCAGCAACACGACAAGGAACAATTACACACAACACCTAACTAACAACAAGGAACTAAATAGGGTGCTTAATGAGACATAACACAAAACAGGTGTGACAAACAGACAAAACCAATCAAACAAGAAACATAGAACGGTGGCAGCTAGTACTCCGGAGACGACGACCGCCGAAACCTGCCCGAACAAGGAGGAGGGGCCGCCTCGGCCGAAACCGTGACAGTACCCCCCCCTTGACGCGCGGCTCCAGCCTTGCGCCGCCCCCGGCCTCGGGGACGACCAGGAGGACGCGGAGCAGGGCGCGTAGGATGACCACGATGGAATTCGGTCAGCAGGGACGGATCCAGAATGTCCCTCCTCGGCACCCAGCACCGCTCCTCCGGACCGTACCCCTCCCACTCCACGAGATATTGGAGACCCCCCATCCGGCGTCTCGAATCCAGGATGGTCCGAACAGTGTACGCCGGAGCCCCCTCGATGTCCAACGGGGGCGGAGGAGTCTCCTCAATCTCAAAGTCCTGGAGTGGACCAGCTACCACCGGCCTGAGGAGAGACACATGGAACGAGGGGTTAATATTCTTGTAATCAATGGGCAGTTGTAACCTGTAACACACCTCGTTCAATCTCCTCAGGACTTTAAAAGGCCCCACAAACCGCCGACCCAGCTTCCGGCAGGGCAGGCGGAGGGGCAGGTTTCTGGTTGAGAGCCAGACTCGATCTCCAGGTGCGTACACTGGCCCCTCACTGCGGTGTAGGTCGGCGCTCGTCTTCTGTCGACGGATGGCTCGCTGCAGATGGACGTGTGCAGCGTTCCACGTCTCCTCCGAGCGCCGCACCCACTCATCCACAGCAGGGGCCTCGATCTGGCTCTCATGCCAAGGTGCCAGAACCGGCTGGTACCCTAACACACACTGGAAAGGGGTTAGTCTAGTGGAGGAGTGGCGGAGAGAGTTCTGTGCCATCTCGGCCCAGGGCACATATCTCGCCCACTCCTCCGGCCGGCCCTGACAATATGACCTCAGAAACCTACCCTCATCCTGGTTGACTCGTTCGACCTGCCCATTACTCTCCGGGTGGTAACCCGAGGTAAGGCTCACCGAGACCCCCAACCGTTCCATAAAGGCTCTCCAGACTCTGGAGGTAAACTGGGGGCCTCGATCGGACACTATATCCTCGGGTACCCCGTAATGCCGGAAGACGTGAGTAAATAGAGCCTCAGCGGTCTGTAGGGCAGTAGGAAGACCCGGCATGGGAAGGAGACGACAGGCCTTCGAGAACCGATCCACAACGACCAGGATGGTGGTATTCCCTTGTGAGGAGGGAAGGTCGGTAACAAAATCCACCGAGAGGTGAGACCAGGGTCGTTGTGGAACGGGCAGGGGTTGTAATTTACCCCTGGGCAAGTGTCTGGGCGCCTTACACTGGGCACACACTGAGCAGGAGGAGACATAAACCCTCACATCCCTGGCTAATGTTGGCCACCAGTACTTTGTACTAAGGCAGTGCACTGTCCGGCCAATACCTGGATGTCCAG